AATAATTTTGAGCTGTAACTAAAAAAAGAAATGTCATGGACTACATACACAAACCAGTCTTACTGAATAGGTGCCCGGCTTGCACATTAACTAGATGATAACGTGTTAGCTCTGTATTTCTAAGTAAAAAGAAAATCTCGAATAAAGCAGACACTCACTATCTGCCCACCTCTTCTTAGAATTACCACTGTCTTCTACATAAAACATCAATTTTTCCAAGAAACTGCTTCATTTGAAGCATGTTTGAACAAGACATGTCATGAACAAGACAAGTTTAATTTCTAAACTAATATGCCCAATTTCAGTGATAGATACTTCAAAGGGAAGCAAACTGTTGTAACTGCTATTGTAGGATATCTTCATTTAGGTTTAAGACAATCAAATACCTTTTGAAAACACTTAAAAAATGTTACTGTCCTTTGTTTCCGGTGGGGTGCTATAATCCCCTCAGGTAAGTTATCACTTAAGAAAGTCTACTTAAACAGTACAATATTTGGCCAATATTTTTCTCATAAAAACACAAGCACAATTAGACTGGGGTCAAATGCTGAAGTTAAATTAGAGACGGGCAATTACTTTACGATTGCCATTGTTTTGGAGCATTCAGACAAAATTACGTGTTTTTTCTTAAGTTGTTCATCTGAATTATCTCAAGTTTGTAGCTCTGGGGACCTGACCTTTAAGATTTAGCTGAGTTGGGTTTTTGAAACACACCAGTTTGCAAAAGTTTCTATGGAAGAAATAAAGTCCTTGGTGAGACTTTACATCTATTTGTGACTGAGCATTTTTTGGACTCTTGTATTAAATCTGAGTTGGCATGTTATTAACCTTTTCAAATTAGGCATTTAGTAGGCTCAGCTGAATATTTTCTTAATTTGCACATTGGTTTGCTGGGACAGCTGGCACTGCACTGGAATGTTAGTTGAGATCTTTGATTTACATAGTCTAAGTGCAAACATATAAACTCTGCTTTTGGAGAGGATGACCTAAATAGTGCAGAATACAGTACACTTCATTAATAAAAATAATAGCAGTAACAACAGCTAACACTTACTGAGCATTTGCTATGTTTCCAGGACTGTATACCTTTAGGTATATTCAGTTATTGAACACTTTCAATCACTCCAATTTTTTATTCTCTAAATTTTGTAGATAAGAAAATGCAGAGGGTTAAAGTACTTGCCCTCAATCACACAATTAGTAAGTACTAAAGCTTAGATTTGTACCTAGGCAATCTAGCTGCAAAATCTACACAGTTAGCATTTGAAACATTGCCTCTGTGAATGCCTCTGATAACAAAAGAGTGTCCATTCACCTTCTCAGGTCACTTTTCATGTGAAGAAAATGTCACATCTTCGACTGTGACCACAGATTTCAGGGGAATAAGTTTCTCAGGCTAAGAAATGTCAGTTACTCTTCACAACCACCCCCAACAAATCATAATCAGCCTTCCTGTTCCTTTAAATGTGTGCACAATTTTGTTTATTTTAATATATGTGTAATAAGGCTACTGAGCTGACATATATCAATTACAGAGCCATAAATGTGCAGGTTGAAGTAAGTCTTCCTTCAAGGATAAGGACATTCTAGATGTTAGTTACCTATAGAAGAGGTGTCTACCAGATTAAGAACAAAAAGAGGATCCCTAGCTGGCTGGAAGACTAGGAATCTAGCTCTCTGGTGATCTAGGTCTTAATCACCAAGGGATCAATATGTCTGCACAGAGTGCATGGTAAGGGGTGGAAGGTACTTTTCCTGAGAGAAGACAGGGGCAGACAGAGCAGGCCTAGGACAGGAGAAATAGGACCATGAAGTTAGTGCCTCTCTTACCTAGTCTTCCCTTTTGTTCTTCTTCAGTATTCAAAAAATGCCTTTGAAAGTTCTAATATATCTCATACTTCACTGAAGGAGTTTTTAAATAAATGGGGCTGTAAAAAAACCTGAGTGCAACATCCATGGTGGCAAGAACAAGAAAGAGAATCCAGAGTGGAGCAGGAGAGGGATAAAGGAGGAAGCTACCATTCTCTTTCCCTTTCGGTTTTGGTGACAAACGTTGGAGGTTCTGGTTTGTATTTTAATGTGGACTCAGTACCCCAATATGCCTTATACTGACATAAGAAGTGTTTGAAAATGATTTGCAGAATAGACATGCTAGTTTTCAACCATAATCAACCTTGAGAGAACTGAAGACCATCTAAGGTTTCTCTCTCCTTTTAGAAATAAAACTGAGGCTGGGCATAGTGGCTCACATCTGTAATTCTAGCACTTCCAGAGGCCATGGTGGAGTGTAAGGATCACTTAAGTTCAGGAGTTCAAGACCAACCTGGGCAACACAGGGAGACCCTCCCCCATATCTCAAAAAAAAAAATTAGCTGTATGGTGGTATGAGCCTGTAGTCCCAGCTACTCAGAAGCTTGAGATAAGAGGATGGGGAGGCCAAAGTTGCAGTAGAGACAGAATCGCTCCTTTGTATTCCAGTCTGGGCGACAGAGTTAGACCCTTTCTCTAAAAATACATAAATATGTTTATATATACCCGAGTGAATAAATGTAGAGATCTACCCTTGCTGGCTTGTTGACAATGCACGCACATTTGCAAGTGTTCATCAAAATTGCTGGAGGAAATTCTATGTATATTTTGAGAGAATTTGTTGAGCCAAAAACTGGGCCCCTACCTAATACTGTTCCTGGCTGAAGAAATTATCACCTTAAGAATTTTACAGAAATATTTTTGAAGCCTCTAAGACTAAAAGGGGAAAAAGAGAAAGAAACAAGGCCTGGTGAAACTAACTAGAGATTTGCTGGAGGAGTTCTGGGTTAAGCCCCCAAAACAGGTGTGCCACTTTCACTTTAAGGGCCCACATCCCTTTCTTGTTTGCCAACACGTCTATTTTTTTCTTTAAAAACGATATTTTACATTCTGAAAACACCTTAAAATTAAGGTACAAAGAATCTCATGAGGTATTTATGCCAATTTTCATATTTTTTTCGAACAATATATTGCAAAGTAGCTCTAACAACAAACTGACACTTTAAAGGGATTTCTTCGGAGGCACAAACTTCAGCGGGATTGCAGCATCCATTAGCTTCATCACTGTCAGCTTGGGATATGCACATGGAAATGTAACTAGGGAAATGAGGCAGTATGTCTTCCTGAGTCTCCAGCCTCAGAGCTGGAAGGCTGTGACCATCTGGGCTCTTATCTCAATTAGTGCGTGGGGGTAGGGGTGGTGCTCAGCCTGTCCCTGGCCCACCAGTCTCCTCACTCTGGCGGTGGGTCAAGGGTGATATTCCTCCTGGAATAGCAAAGGTAAACTGTAACACTGAAAAAAAAAAAAAAAAAAAAAAGCTTCTTGGGTTGGTGGGGAGGGGGCGGAATGAAAAGCTACAATACACTGCTTGTTAGGGTTAATCCCGGTTTTGACAACTGCCAGAGCTGTTCAAAAAAGGAAATGATTAAATAAATAAGCCACTATATCAAATTAGCAAACGAACCCTCTACTGACTCACTCAAGGGTTTCGGGACCTCAAGAAAATATTTTTGAGTGAGGAGAAAGTAAAGGTACCTTCCATGTCATTACGTAAGCATCTCCTGCTTTGAGGATTACGGGAATTACCACGCGCCGCCAGCTGGGAGCTCCGCTGCCTATTACACCTGCCGGACCCTGCTCTTTCAGCCTGGCCCGAGGTTCCACAGCCAAAGCTGCCTGCGAGTATTCGGGAACCATCCGCGGACGCGTCTCCAAGTCGTGCGGAGATACCACCGCGTAAGAGGTTTTCTCAGACGGACGTTCAGCAAGTAGAGAAAATACTACGCTATAGTTTCAAGTTGGGAAACTTTTCTTTATAACTGCATTACCCATTGTGAGCTGCCAGGAAACAGCTAGCTTCTTTTCAAGGGATTGCGACGACTCGTGTCCACAGTTGCAGGACCGCGACGAACTCAGAGGGAGGAAATACAGACTACGGCCTGAGTAGAATTTTGCGCTATGTGACTTTGGGTCACACTTAACTGAAAATGCCAGTGGCCGCGCAGTCTGGCTACTTTTTTCCACCAGCGCCTTATCCACAGCCAGTTGTCCCTTTTCGGGCGACATTTTCTGGAAAAAATGGGTACCCAAACTCCAGATTCATAAGCGTCTTTCTTAATCTCTCCCCGGTCCCCTCCAAGCCGAGCTCAGTCGTCCGGCTCCCCTCTTCCCCATCCCCGCTGCCAGAGGCCGCCGCCGTCTGTGGTCCCGAAACCCGAGCACGGCTGGTAGGAGGCCTCTCAGAGGTGATGAGTGGCGGGGGGTGAGGAGGGAGGATGCTAGTTTAGCCGAGTTAATAGTTTTTTCCAGGGGACACGTTTTTGGGGAGATCTGGGGCAGAAGGTAGCTTCGCAACCCCCCAGTGATGATCGCGAGCCTGACCGAGGCCGGGCCACTGCTGTGAGTGCCACATCATTCTAAGCGTTACTAGGAGGGGACGCCGGAGATCAGAGACAGCCAAGACTCGAGAAGGTAATCCAGCCCCGCCAGGCGCGCAGCCGCTGCTGAAGCCTTCCTAGACGCGAACCTCCCACCCCCACTTCCCCAGCTTTTTCATCCCTTCCAGGGTCGAACCGCCACAAGAAGTCTGGTCCCGGACTCGAGCAGAGTGCTCTCCGAAAACCTGGTGACCAAAGAGAAGCCTTGAGGCTCAGTCCGTGTAGCGTACCCTGGATTCGAACGCGCAGCTCAGCAAGACACCAGTTTCACAAAGCCGTAGTTTGTACTGGCGCGGGCTGCGGCAGGAAGGACCCCATCGTCCCCTCCCTCGGCACGGTTCGGAACCGTAAAAGGCGCACAGCACCCCAAATCTAAGTGCGCACATACCTGCGCACGCACCCGGAGGCTCGCACCACTCGAGGCGCCGGCGCGCGACAACTCACTGCCGGGTCTCCCAGCTTCAGCCCCGACCCAGCGCTCGCCACTGGGGCCCACCCGCAACCTGCCCTTCCGGGAGGACGGCGCCAAGTACCTGCTGTTAAGATGCAAAGAGCGAAGAGAGTCTTGCAGACCATGGTAGCCTGGTGTTTGGTGCCTAACCCAGAGCGGGCGGCAAGGAGTTTGCGGACTGACAGCGCACGGGGCGCCGGTAGCGAATCCTCTGCCGGGTGGACTGTGGTGGGAGCCCGGAGACGCGGACAGCTCCAGTGGCAGGCGCGAGGCAGATGAGGCGAACGCCGCGCAGCTCCGTCAGCTGCGTGCCCTCCGGTACTCGGCGCGCTTCTGCTCCATCCCAGCCGCGCGAGCCCTGGGCCGCCTCCGCCGCCGCCGCCGCGCCCGCCGCTGCCAAACCCCTCCCACCCGAGCCCCGCGGCGAACACAGGGCCACCCCCTTGCCTTCTTTCTCCCAGCCCTCAGGTCCCGAGAGCCCCGGCCCAGAGCGGCCTCTGCTGGACAGTAAGGACGCCAGACCCGGGCTTCCACTGGGTTCAGCAAACGTTTGCAGCGCCTCGCACTGTGCTGGAAACTGGGATACCAAGAAGTGTGAGCATATCTCTGCCCTGAGGAATCGAGCTCAGCTTTTCTTACATGAGCTTACAGCCTTTAAAGAGTCGCCTTATACCATTTCAGGTGTTCCCTCGGAGAACCAGAGCATTTTCTAAGAATGAGGACCTTCTTCATTTGTTCAAACACTTCTGCGTGTACATTAAACCCTCATCCCTGGTCACCCCTACTGTGCTTCCTGGGGCCTGAACCAGGATGTCTGCCGCTGTATTGTTTCTTATTAGAAGAAAATAGTAATGTCAGGAAACTGATGGTGGGATAACTGAGCCAGACGCCCTACTAGGCGTTGTTTCATGAATCCTTCTAAGAGTTATTATTGTTCTGTTTTACAGGTGAGTAAACGAAGGCACAGAGAAGACAATGTCCTCAAGGTTGCATAACTGGTAAGAATAGTTTGTGCACTAGGCCCTTAATAACAAAGGCTGACATTTCCTGAGTGATTGCTATGTGCTAGGCACTGGACAATGTGCTGTTCAGGAATCAACCAAGTCATTTAGGCTTCACAACAGTCCTTGGAGACTATATCCTCGTTTTGAGGGGAGGATGTGGAAGCACAGAGAAGTTTAACTTGCTCAAGTTGACACAACTCACAAGTGACAAGATGACTGCTTAGGCACCCCGCTCAGCCTTTGTACTCCCTCTCCAGGGTCCAAAGCTTCTTCAAAGCCTGCAGATTAGAAGTGACCTTTCACTCAATTCCCTCCTTGCTCCTGCTACGCTTTAGACTTGCTAGTTCTCACACTTGAATCAAAGCAGATGCCAGGTTCTCTCCCAGTTCTGATATTAATGAGCTTGGTGGCCCCCTAGTCACTAGAGCTAGGGCACTGCAGGAGTTAACAAGCCTTTGTAAAGAAATGATTTGCTTGGAGGACAACCTTTTTCTGATATCTTTTTCATATACTATGAAAAGCTCTTCTCTCACTTCTTTCTCACATACCAGAAGCTGACTCTATGAGGCCTGAGCACCTTATCTATAGTCAGTTCCTCTGCCTGGCTCTACCACTACCACTTGGAGATTTTGCTCACACTTCCACAACCAGATTAAATGGGAATGAGATTTTTTTTCTCTTTGTGTTGACAAATCTATTAATTTCTGTTGGAATGAGAAACAAAAATACTCAAACCAAGTGCCCATCCCCTCTGCATCCTCCCTGGCCAGATCACTGCAAATTCAATTTGTTCAACATGTTATCTGAATGCTTTGGGCTTCAAGGTCCTTCTGGTTTCTAGGGTAAGCTATGTGATTATGAAGAATTTCTGCATCTGGGTTTTGGTTGTCATGGAGGCAGGGACCACACACACAGATGGAGTTATACAGTGACATTCTATCAGGCACTGGCCCCTTTAAGTAGGGCAACTTAAGTAAGTGACTCTATGGCAGAAATAAAGGTTTTTGAAGACCACTTCACAGAAAAATTTATTCAATTAAAATTCAACAAAACCTAAAGGAGTCTTTCTGGGGTGCAAAGCATGTGCATCTCTAACCTTGATACCTAAGATAATGATTTGGTATTCAAAGAATCATGACCCCTACACACTAATCAGTGAAAATTTCCAAAACTTTTCTCCTGTATGTAGAATAGAGTTGAAATAGTTTCTTTGATTAAAATAGTTCGTTTTAATTGCTGCTTTAAAATTTTAATTTATTAATTTAGTCAGAGCATATTTAATCACTTATACCAGCCCTTATGCTAGGCAATGGGACTATTATAGTTGTAATAGCCAGGGTAGTGTAGTTTATGCTGCTGTAATAAACCAGCCCAAAGTCTCCCAAGCCTAACCAATAATGGTTTATTTTTTGCTCATCAAAGTGTGCTGTGGATTCGGGTTACTCCTCAGAGTAGCTGTCCTCAGGATTCAGGGTTGTACTGACATATTGAAACTTATTTTTGTTACAGTAGGTAGCTAGCCAAGCGTGAGTCTGGCAGGAGAGGGCTCCACCCACACCCACACTAGGAAAGGTAGGTAACAATCAAGTGTTGGCCAGAGGGCCATCTAAAATATGGCCAGATGGCCTCTCTAAAATAATAATTGATTACAGCTGGCATGAGGAAACGACAGCTTCCTATAGATAGGGAACACCTGAAACTGGTAATCAGCAGCTTCCAATAAGATCTCAGGTGTCTGGCCACTGAGCTCAGGCATGTATATTATGATTCAAAATGGTGGAGTTTAACTGGTATATGACCCTTTCAGGGCATGCCACTGGAAAAGGAATGCAAGAAGCTGGAAGTAGGCCAGCATGTAAAACCCTAAGTCCAAGGTCAAATGGGGCACTTGACCGCCAAGATGCCTGCTTGGGTCTCTTCCAACTATACTTTCCTTTCTCCCTGCTTTGAAACTTGCCTCAGTCTTTTTTTCTGCCTTATGCCCCTCAGTTGTATTCTTTCTTCTGAGGCAAGAATTGAGGTTGCTGCAGACCTGTACTGATTCCCTGCCGGTGACTCGGATAACTTCCACCACTAACGGTTTCACATCCACTGAGTTAGGGGAAGAGAGAACTGGGGAATTAAGTGTTTAAATCCTCCACCTAAAAGTGACACTTCTGTTTATAATTTATGGGCTATGGCAAGTTAATGGCTATGTCCAACTTCAAGAAAGCAAGGAAGCATGTTCTTTTCATTTGCTCAGACAGAGATAAGAACTGTATAGCAGGGAGCATTGTGATGTGTGCCACAGTGGTTGATTGTCTCTGCACCAGGAAACTTATTTTCTGGTAGTAGGGTGTCAAACCTTGAATGAATAATCACAAAGACATATGCAGTAACATTAAATGCTACAAATAATAATAATAATGATGAACATTTATTAATTGTTCCAAGCATTTTATGTACAGTCATGTGTTTAAATTTCTACCCTCTCACTTTGTGAGATAGATACTGCAGAAGACCAGAATATGCCACTTCAAAGTGTGCTTTTTCAGTATAAGTATTCCTTTGAGGAAACAGCCGCTATAGGAGCAGCTCTGAGAACAGAGTGGAAGTATCTTTTGATAGGGTAAATTTAAATCTCTAGAGGAAATTTCCATTTGTAAGAATGTCCCCCTCTGAGTACTAGGAAGAAAGAATGGCACTAAATTACTAGAAATTCTTATCAATGGAGAGGGCGCTGACTTAAATATGCAAAACAAACTTTACCCTTGTTTACCATGCTTTACCTGGTCACTTCCTCTTAACTGCACCCCTACTGCCATAGTCTTCTTTCTTTGCTTCAGTTGAAGATGGTATTTAAGTATGAATTCAAAGGCACCTCTTTGAAAATTACTAATTCCCTGACTAGCTCATATATATGTATATGAAATATAGATGTTGATAAACTTGTGGGGTTTTTGTTGTCGTTGTTAATCTGTCTTTTGTTATAGGGTACTACAGCTTAGAACTCATAAAGAGTGAAAAGGAAGTTATCTCTCCTCCCCCGCAAAATTATGATTATCCAACTTTTACAAAGTAAGAAACAGAAAAACTTACACAGAATGAAACTTTGAAGGAAACTAAGGGATGCTATGAGATATAACAGCAGGGGAACTAGTACTCCTCAGTGGGGTCAGGGGTGAAATTTGCATGTAATCCTTAGTTATGACTTATAGCAAAAGCCTTTTTTTTTTTTTTTTAGTAGAATTCTTAGTTCTTTTATAATACTCCACTGGGATAAAATCTCAGATAAATCTACCTTTTACTGACTGCGACTCTGTTTTGATCATTGTTAAAATGAATTTCTAGTGTTGCGGACTTAATATTTTACCAAAAAAATTGCCCTTGGCTGACTTAAACTTTTGCATTCTGAATATATTATACTTTATAATCTTAGATAATATATTTTAGATAATATAGAAGTATTATTTCTGGATTCTTGATATCATGAGATGGTTTCATCTGGACTCTTGGCTTAAGAGAAAGAATAACTTTAGAGCTGCAGTGGTTAGAGGTTGGGTCCTAATCCCCTCTGTCATCTACTAACTGAGTGACTAATTAATTACTTGACACCTCTATGCCTTTGTTTCTGTATCAGCTGCTAGGGCTGCCATAACAGAACATCACCAACTAGGTGACTTAAAGAACATCAATGTATGTTTTAAACTGGATATCTAAGGCCAAGGTGATACCATTGTGCAGGCTCTTGTTATCATCATGAGAAGGAATTCAAGGATGAGTTAGAAAATAGTGACAGTAGGAGATTTATTACAAAGTGAAAAGCATATACTCAAGAAAGGGGATGGTGCATGTACTTAAGACAGTGTTGTTCAGTGGAGTTTGGAATTTCTACCTTTATGCGTTCCTTTAACCAAGGGGTGGAATATTCATTAAAATTCCTGGATAAAGGTAAAGATTTCTCAGAACTGTGGTGCCACCTATTTTTTACACCAAGTGTGGGTGTTCTCTGGACTGTCATGGCACTGGTGGGCATGTGATTGAGAACAATAAAGAAATCTAGATCGAATCCAGTCCATGTTGGGTCCGGTTGCTCTTAGCCAGCTAGGTCCATACCCTGGGTTTTCAGGGTCTTATCAGTTCCTAGCTTCTGCAGCTATTTCAACAGTAACCTTTTGGTAGTCATACGAAACTGCTGCCTGGAATTTTCTATTCTCCTGTGCCACCCTATATTATTCCTGCCTCAAAGGTGCTGGTAGTACTGGTTTCTGGTAAGGCCTCTCTCCTTGTCTTGCAGATGGCTGTCTTCTCACTACATTTTCATATGACCTTTTCTCTGTATGTGCACACTCCTGATATCTCTTCCTCTTATAAGGATGCCAGTCCTGTTGGATTAGAGTCTCATCT